TATCTGTTATGAGATTCGTGAAACTTCACAAATAACCACGCCCTCCCATTGTCGAGGCAGTGTGACCCTCTGCTATCGCACTTTAGGATCGGTGACAACCGAAGCGTGTCATTTTATGAACTTTACAAAAGTCTCCTCAATTCCTCTAGCGGTTGTTTGTGACCACTTTAAGAATACCATCGAGAAGTGATAATGGGTATAGCATACGAATGTAAGGCAGTCCGTTAAGGTTCAGGAGTTGAGGGAAGTTTTTAACACTGACTTGAGTCAGGTTGGTATACTCTGTTTAAGTTAATCCCCTTCAGTTGATGATGTGCAATCATTATCCTTGCTGAATCGCAAGTATTGTAGAGCTCATCAGCTTCCAGGAGGCATGATGTTCTCATCAACAGTCTCGTATGTGAGCCTCACTAAGTTGAGTACCCTTCTGTATTTGTTGTATTTTGCATTGATTCAATGCCTAGTTCCATATTTATTATCCCTGGAGAAGTCTTCAGTAGCTTTCCTCTGAATTTTAGTCACGCATGTACCAGCAGAGTAGAGTTTGATGTCGTCCCATATACGCTAAAATGGGCTATCTGCGAATCTTTCCAGTGCCTCTCAGTTCGAAACATAATTTCATCTTCTAGGAGTGTCGATAACGGGTCATGCCAAGCGAACCAGTAAGGGCTCAGGCTATCTCCTGAAAGATTCCGCGCTTTATATTTATTCCTTGGTAATGCAATGTTTCATTTTTTGAAAGTGACACGAATAGTTGGTCTCCATTGCGCCATGATGGATTTCAGGAAATTACAATTGTCGAGTCACACGATATAGCGACAGCACGTAAAGGAGCCAATCATGCGGACCATGTCATAGGCCTTCTATAATCAATGAAGCAGGTGAACAAGTTTGCGTTTCTTTTACATGCTTGAGACATTGACCCACACTATCAATGAGAATTGCTCCTTACATCCAAGGGAGCCCCTGCCTGCATCCCTTTTGACATCGGCTAAGATAGAATTTGCTACACAGTGTTTCTCATAACCATTGATAAACAACTTTGTGATGACTTTGTAGTAAGAATTGAGACAAGTGATTGTCTATATTTCGTAGGATCTTAGTATCACTGGTTTTTGGCTTCATATATGTAACACCTTCACACAGGAAGTGCGAATTTCTTCAGGATTATTCATATAGTGGTTTATGAGATTTAGAATTTTTCCATGGAGGCAGGTTGAACTTTTGAACCAGTAGTTATGAAGACCGTCTGATCCAGGCAATTTCCAATTTAAAGTTTCTGTAAACTTTTTGTAGAATATCTAGGTGATTTGACCGGTTCCCATTTCGGTGATATGTGCTGCTGTATTCCTGACCTGTTCTAGCCAAGGTGCGTTTGCGTTGAAGTGACTTTCCGTCGACCATATTTTACTCCAGGCCTCTTCAAAGTAATTTCTCTGGTAACTGTTCACTTCTGTTGTTTTTTTCATTCATCTTTCTGTAGAAATCCTTTTGCTTGAGAGAAAATCTCTGTTCTCTACTTTCCGCTTTAGACTTTGTGAACGTTTCTCCATGCGTTGCTGTAAACGCTAGTTTCTGTTTAGAGTATCTATAAAATTCAAGCAGATGACTATTATCAGGATATGGTGTGTGTGTTTGCATGTTCTTCTTAATGACTTTTACTCTGTTTTTCAGATATTTACTCTGTCTCCTCTTTGGAAGCTTCGAGTGTAGCGATGTCTGATCGGAGGCTTCTATTCTCTTCTGTAGTCTGATTTCCATGAGGATTTTCTGATGTAGCTGGAGTTCCGCTGTGGGTGAATTTCGATAATCTTACCACCATTGCTCTCACTATTGGCCACTGCCATACAAATATTGCAGAGTCAAGGCTGTCATAGGTCGTAATTGAGCTCGTCTTTTACCAAAATTGTTTATTATTATTATTATTATTATTATTATTATTATTATATTATTATTATATATATTAATTTTTTTTTGCGCCAGGTGGAAAAAAACCTTCAAAAGGCGAAGAGCGGGACCGGTTGCTCAACATGTGTGGGATACCTCTTGCTAGGCGACCTCACTAAAAATAACCACCTGTTTCTTCTTCTGCCCTCAGCCTGGACCGCTTTCGCATTACTTCAGGCTGGGGCCTTTTCGTGATGGATGCCTCTTCATTTGTTTCCGTCCTTATACGCTATCGCTTAGACAGCCTTCTTCCTTCTTTGCCCGCAGAACGCTTTCTATGAAGTGGGAAATTGCGTTCCAGGACTCTCATTTCTTAGCATTCTTCGACAATATTCTCTGGCGTGAGACTACCTGTCGTTTCTCTAGTTTATAGAGTTTTTCTTTCCGGTTTGTACACTGGAAAAAAGGTGTGCTCGGCGGTGTCCAATTGATTTCCACAGTGCTTACAGGGGTGATTGAACCCTCCCCATGCGGTAGAGATAGTCTCTGAAGTAGCCGTGTCCTGTCAGGAACTGGGAGAGGTAGAAGTTCACTTCCCAAACTCGCGTTGCACCCACGGCAGCAACTTCTTAATAAGTCGGTCGTCCACCTCCCTTTGGTCCCGTCGTTCCAGCGTTCCTGCCAGCGCTCCATTGGTCTCTTTCCGCTCCTTCTGTGCCGCTTTCGCTCTGCCTCGGCCTGCGCTCCTGTCATAAATTCGCTTGCGCTCCAGCGCGAGCAGGTCGATCGGTATTGCTCCGGCGATCACAAGGATGGCGTCTGCGGAGACTGTTCGGTAGAAGAGCATGCCACCCTCAGTGCTCCCCTTAACGTGAACCGCTGAGATCCCGTGGCTGTATTTTTTCACAGTCATCGCTTCGGCCCACACTTCAGCTCCGTACAACAGCATTGACTGTACTGTCGACATTAGCAGTCCGCGGGCCGTGGGCCGTCTACATTGGCCATCAACCTGCTGAGCTGCTGCTGAGTGCTGCGGTTGTGGTTGCAGCTTTGTCGGCGGCCTTAATGTGGGGCCAGAAAGTAAGCTTCGTGTCCAGGGTTACACCCAGATACTTTACCCAGATAATAATAATAATAATAATAATAATAATAATAATAATAATAATAATAATAATAATAATAATAATAATTATTATTATTATTATTATTATTATTATTATTATTATTATTATTATTATTATTATTATTATTACAATACACTCAGGAACTGTTACTGTATTCCAATAACATTTTCATGCACTGGTTAATATCATACACATATGATAACAAAACACGAGGAAATTAGTTTTGAAAACCGCCAATTTTCGGTAGTGCGCTAGCTTTTGCAACGGACGCACATTACATGTACTAAAAACAAAAGAAAAAAATTCAACGTTACAAAGGTTAAATAAAGTATTTACCTCTTCTACTTTAATTGTACTTTCTGATATAATTTTAACGTCTTCCATTTCTATTACTCCTTGCTACCAATATATCACACCAATTTCTTTTTTATTATTAAATCCTAAACAAAACTATAGGCGCTCGCAGGGTACTCACAACTGGCTTTAGCTCTTCTAAAGTGCTGCGCTCGAACGGGTGGCATCGTTACTAAACTATGCGGTGATAGAAAAATCACAAAAAAAAAAAAAAATCCTTGGCCACTTAGGTGCGTTTAATACGTTGTGCGGTTGATTTGAAAGCACTCTCATTTTGGTTGAGTTGACTTAAAATTTATTTTAGGACTCTGTATTATCCGCGCACATTTTCTCGAGCCATTGTTTCCCTAGATGCTAGAAAAGTGGGAGGTTGGTTACAGAGATGTTCAGAATGACATCACAACGTTTGGCAGGACAGTGTTGAGTGGCAACCTCCACGGTGTGCTCAAGCGAATCCTAGGGAATTACTAAGTTTTGGGCTTATTATGTGGTTGTCGTGGTGCCTGTGTCTTATCACATTTGTTATTTACAATGATATTTGCTTTCTTTTGTTTTATTTAGGTTCTGGCTGCGAATTTCGTTGACTAATTGGATTTTAAAAAAGCAGTATTTTATTAACACACCCCATGTCGCTACCTTTAAAAAAAAGTTTCAAGTAAATACTATCATGACCTTAGCGATGATACGGTGCTGCTTTATAATAAAATGAAATGTATGAAACATTTGGTTCCACGTGTTCTTTCATCGGTTATGAAAGTGCCAACGAAATTTGAGCCCCTGTGCTATTAGCGTAGAAGTGACTCCTTCCGTGTTGAAGATTCCTCCACTCCGTGAACAAATTATCAACATTTTTGAGTCTACATTTAGGAACGTTCTGAACTTTTTCCCAAAGATTATTAAAGTTTCATGTATGTAATATTTCTCTCAATTATAGTAATTAATACAACTTTTCAAAAATAAATATTTACAAAGCCGATAAACGGAATATACGGAAGGAGTCATTGTAACTCGGCTCGCGTAGGGGTCATAAATTCATTGGTACATTTCATATCCGATGGATATGATATGCATGTGGATCCAAATGTTTTATACATTTATTTTTTTACAAATTAGCACCTTAGCACCATTGCTAGGGCCATGATAATATTTACTTCGAACCATTTTCAAAATGAAAAGATAGTGACTTGATGCAAGTCTGATAGGAAAGCATTTCTTTAAATTAAATTTGTGAATGAGATGCGCAGGCAAAGCGAAAGAAAAATATAGTTGTAAGTAACAAACGCGATAAGAAACACAGACCTGCATAATACAGCCAAAAACTTACCTATTCGCTGGGAATCGCTTACCCGCACAAGTTATCGAGCTTGAATTAAATTTCTCTTTTCCCGCCAAACGTAATGTCATTCAGTACAACTCTACATAATCTACTACTATCACAGTTATCCTGTGCTTCTTTGGAGTTCTAAATCAAAAATTTATTCCTTGGCGGTGTGCTTCTATCGATTCCTGGTCACGGAGCAGAGCACTCACACTTTGTTGACAATCCCTGGTCCACCACGAGTTATCTTGCTCGTTGTGCCTGGCCCGGTGGCTGTAGTAATCCGTAGTAATTTTTTTTAATACCGTGGTTCCCAGGTGGTGCCTGGGTGTGAGCCTCGTCCTTGGTTCCCGGTGGTTCTTTGGTGTGCTTAGTAAAGTAGTATTAGTGGTGATTAGTTGTAATAACAATGGAAAACAACGATTTATACAAAAATACAAGTGAAATGAAAGAAGTAAGTATTTTATATTAATTTCATTTTCAGTGAAAACTTGTGTTGCAAGCTCCGAAGGAAATCTTACTAACTTATCTCTTGTGACTTATTTAACAGAAAATGTTTATCATTAATTTTCGAGTTTAAAATTGATCTATAAAAATAGTGTCTCAAAATCTTGAAACGAACTTTTGGGCAATGGAAATCACATTAATGGTGTGATAAACGTACTCTTTGTGGTAAATCCTACATCTGTTAGTCTTCTGCTTTTTGCGACTTCCAGGTCCAAGAAGAATCGGATGACAACAAAGTGGGGCGTAGCTTGAATACCATAGTAAGTTATGTTTCTACAATTAAGACTGTTTCTGTCATTCTTTGTTTTTCTCTGTTATTCTGTTGATTCACAAGTATTGGTTAGGTAAATATGATGAGGTGGCAGTTTTTTCAGCAGAGAAATGTTTTTATCTTGAAATAGTGATTATGATAAGTATGGAAAGTGAAAGTGTATAGGGGTGACTTATGTAGACTTTTGTATTAGAGGGCAGTGAAAGGAAAATCTCTGAAAACTTCATGAAACAAGTAAAATTATCCATTTTCTTGTTGCACTTGCATATTAAAATGACATAAGCCAAAATGTCAATTTTTTCCTTTCTATACTCTCGTGTAAGGAGGGAAGGTATTGAAAACCTGCCAACAATACAATCTAGAATTGTCAGGATTGAAGTCTGTTAAGTGCTGTTACAAAGATTGTTAAGAACGGTGCATATGGTGAAGAGGTACGTGCAATTTTGTATCTGGGCTGGGTGGACATGTCACGAAATTATGATTATATATATTAAGTTCATACATGTATCAACACTCCTTTTCAAATAATGAAATTATGTGTAAGTGAGGGCAGCATAATAATGTAATTTGCTTGTAGTACTTGGAGGACAATGTACTGTAAATAAATCATTGCTTCAAACTACTACAGGAAGAAAACTATAATAATCACTATTTTTACATTTACTTTAACACTCTGGGAACTAGAAATACTCTGCTCAGCATCTCTGAGCTGAGAATGAGAGGAAATTAAGGGGGGGAGGTCTTTTTTGCCTATCACGAAGTTTTTGCTTATCACGAATGGTGAAGAGAATCTGTCCTGTCCAGCATACTATGAATAAAAGTGAAAAGGAATTGTCCTCTAGAGAGAGCATGGGCTAATGAAAGAGATTTCTTTCCCTATGCAGTTTATCCCTTAATTTTATATCATTAAATGATGACATGTCAGTTGTTTTTAAAACTATGAGAAGTTGTTGTGTAATAACACCATGATTAGGAAAAGTTTCTATTTGCCGAGCATTTACACTAGTTTGTGAATCTTTCTTTGTTTTGAGTAAGAGTTTTGTTGATTGCTTTATGCTTTTGGGTTACATCACTAAGGATTTATTAACAGAATTTTCAATACAGTCAATAATGTCTTTTTTTTTTTGTCTCCCCCCATAACATGTTATTCTCTTGGCTATATTGGAAACTGCAGACAGAAGGGATTAATTATAGCCAAACACTTCATTAATATAGCTATATTTAAAAACTGAACATAACATGTTTTGATGACATCAGAAAACTATTCTGAGCAGTTTCGGAATTAGATAAACATTAGTTATCAAATTCAAAACCCACACTTTCTTAAATATTTTGTGTTTAATTTGTGGGATGCAATTATGCGTTAGCTTTTTGCTTGAAATTTCAGAACTTTGCACGAGGAGTGGGAGGTTAGGTTTTTGAAAGTGCTATTTACCGGAATGTATTGTGTGTGCCCCCACAGATTATTCTATTATTACTTCCTAATAATAGAGAAATTATTAATATGAAATTATGTGATCATTTTGGTGGTTTTGCAGGAGGAACTTGAGCCACCAATGAGAGTGAATATCAAGGAAGAGCCCCCCGAGGAGGTTGAAAGGGAACACGAGGTAAGAAAAAACTGCCACATTAACTTCAAACAGAAGAATACACGGGGCAGCACATACTTGTAATAGTGGGTGGAGAAATCAGTGAAGTGGAGTGTGGGAATGAATTGGTCGTGCTTCCTGTGTTTAATTTCTAAATTCTTAGTAGAGTTGACTCTAGATGTAGTGGATCTCTGGGAACTAACATTTTGGATTAACAGTGTCCAACAACGTGAAAATAAACTAGTTTCTTCCAAATAATTGTTTTTGTTATTGCAGAGGTCCGGTAACAAATCCAAACACAACAAATTCAATATTTCAAGATATCCACTTAGCCTTATAGTATTAGTTTTAATTACCGTTTTAATTTTTATTACAATTATTTTATTAATAAATTTTGTAGATCCTCTACAGCGTCTGCTTTTTCCACACTTGATTCTACATTGTTCACACCCTCAAAATATTTTAGTATCTCTGATAGTCTCAAATGATCGATTAGTGATTCTGGACTATTCCATTGGTTTTTCTGTAAGTGCAGGGCATGTTTTATTGCGGGAGGTGGCAGAGACCTCGGGCCAACCTGCAGTCAGCATGCGGGAATATTCCCCAACCATCTATCTCCCACCATGGCACCGCCCCATCCAGGACAAGCTCTTTGTTGCAAGCTGATGCTCTTAAATGACTTCTGCACTTTCGCTTCACTTCTGTTTTTATTTTAATCCTCTGTCATCAATCTGTTTTTTATGTTCTGGAAACTTTTTTACATCACTTTCATCTTAGTGTTATGCACTTACAATGCCCTATCTAGATGGAATTTTACTAGTTTTCATCTCACTTTCTTCAACAGTTAAGGCTTCAGGATTGCCATAGTTGAGCTGAAATTTATTTCCTTGGTATTACGTTACCTCACTCGCTTTCATTTGCTGCCAAATGCTACAGAAATAATTTGCAATGGTCTGCAAACACACAATATTATTGGAATTTGTGGTAGAGAAGGGAAGTATTTTTTCCCAGGGATTTTGTTTTAATATGTTTGCTAGTGGTGTTATGAAGAGCTCACTACAAATTCATTCAGTGGAAAATGGCAGCAATGTAGGTTAGTGAAAAAGATGCTCTGCAATAGTACTCAATAACTAAAGTTATTTTTTATTTTTATTTATTATCAAGTTAATTCCGTGCTTATAAAGTTAATTCAGAAAATAATTAACTAAAAATCAATAAAATGAGTTTGCCAAAAATAATAAAGTGATAGATTAATAAAAATTACAGAAAGAAATACACAATTTGAAGTACAATTAAGTAAAGGACTATAAATTCAAAATAAATTTCAGACACTTCTTGAAATTGACAATGTTGTTATCAAAGAAGTCAATATCATTGCATAATTCATTGGCTTCTTGTGAAAGTGTGTTGAATACATCATTACATTCTCATCTAAATACGTTTCAATATATGAGTGTTGTGGCAGGGTCCTGGCAACTATTTTTTTCTTTTTTCTAAAAGAAATGTTTTCAGATCTCACAATTTTATTTGTCGTGAGAAAGAAATACTGTTCTAATGTGTGTTCACATGTGTCTTTATTAGCACTGAGAGCAATGTGAAATCTGTTGTCAGACAACTGCCATGCAAGATGAATGTAACCCATTTCAAGCAGTGCTCTTACTTCAAGATAGCCGTTCTCCATGGGAGAAATGCCCAAGAATATCACAGGGAATTGGTGGAAACTCTTGGGAATAATGGTCTTCCATAGCGGAAAGTCATAAGGCAGGAGAATTTCTGCAAGGTCATGTTGCAATCAATGATCAGCAACGCACCTGTTGAACTGTGAGTGTGGACTTGGACTGACGTGGCATGCACAGTAATTTAGTACCTGCCTAAGTGGGTCTTAATCTGTAGAACAAGGATGGAATGCTTCTGGAATGTTGTGAACTTGTGTATGCTATAATGCTTTGGAACATGAAAACCAGCACTGTCTTTTAAAATACCTTAACGAGCATGAGAAACGCAATTCTGGTGTGTTGTTAAATTTTATGGTCAATGTTCTGGCTTTTAAAAAAACTCTCTCCAAGAATGCTAAAGCCACAGACGTAAGGGATGCAGGGCTCCACACCATCCTAGCTATTTCAAACGTCCTATGGTTCCTGCTACTGGAGGATTATCAAATGTTTGCTCTTTGATAACAAATAAACTGGATAAAAACACTTGAGAATCACATGTCTGAACTGAAAAAAAGATATTTTCATATTTTTTTGCTCCTAATTTGATGAGATGTCAGTGAAGTTCATGAAACGAGATGCCAAAACTTGGAAACTGAGAGAATGAGAATAGTAGAAAATTCTATCAATTCTTTGTCATAGTTTTCAAGAGTTGAAAATGATTTCATTTGTGAAATCAATGAGCGTTATAAGGATGCATCAAATGTGATTTTTTTTTAATTTGTCAAATTGAGCCTTGTATAACGAGCCAGACAGCTCAAATTTGAAACTTGCTATTCTTCCTCTTTTTCCTTCCTCCATGTCTGCCTTGAGGGTAGGGGGAGGGAGTTCACAGTCAGCCTCTTCCAATGAAGGAAGGTTTCCTCTTGCTGTGATGCTGCTGTCTTCATTCTTCGAAGCAGAGAGAAAATGAAAACTCTTGATGACTCAATTAAAAATGATGTTACCCCGCAAGCAACAAAGCCATCTAAGATAATTGAAAAATGAAATTGATGCTTGAATTGAAAATGGTCAAGGAGATATGATTATTAAATACAGGAACAGTATTCCAAGGATTACTTCGAAGGAAAAACAGTGAACAAGGGATATTCCTCCATGTAAACAAACCTTCATTTAAACCATCCTTCCATTTAACCAAACTGCCAGTATATTTCCAAAATGTTTGAGGGACTGCACTAAAACACCTGATCTTAAAACAGACTATTTTGTTGATATGATTGAAATATGCTCTAACTGTGACTTCTCTGGTGATGAACTTCAGTTGATGGATTATACAGTATTTCAATGAGATCATGATACCATTTCTACTACTCAAAGGTAATGTTCTTAATCTCATCAAGGAGTCCATAATATCACTCATCCACTTAAGAATCTTAATATTGACCAGATATATATTAAACGTTTTCTTCTACTTCACTTGGGTTGTACTTTAGCACTTATCTAGGATGTCTATTATGCTCCATTCTTTCTAAATGTTTTTTCCAGTCTTGTTTATATTGTTGTATAGAACCATTTAAGCTAAATATATTTTATTCTTTTCTTTCTTTATCTAGCAAAGGTACGACCTTTTACTCTCCTTAAAAATTCATCTCTTTAGCTTGATTTTTTTTTTTCACTCCCTTACAGGACTACTGGTGTTACCAGTGTTTTATAGAATTTGTTAACATTGTTTCATAGAATTTCAATGTTGTATCTTTTCTAGTCTTATTTCTTAATGTTTTGTGTAGGGTGTTGCATATATATTGGAACTTGTACTATTTATATCTTGGCTCCGGTTGTAACTTATGTCACATCCCAGATAATTGAAATGTGTTACTGTTCTATTGCTTGGTTTTCCAGGCATATTTTTTTTCTATTTGTATAAATTCCTCTAAAAGCCATGACCTTTGTTTTTTGTTTTGATATTTTCATGTTATAGTTTTTACATATTAGATTTAATTGATGGAGTGCCATTTGGAGATCATAATCCTTTTCACACATACTTGATCAGCAAACAACAGAGATTTGATATAATTATTCTGGTTCAATCTGATTCCTTGTTTTACTTTTAATTTCAATTCTCTAAGAATTTTGCCTGTGTAAACTTTGAATAGTTCCGGAGAAAGTTTGCAAACTTGTTTTAGCCTTTGTTTTAGTTTTTAATGTTTGTGATTGATATGAATATATTTTTATTCGGATCTTTGTATTTTCATAAAGACTTTTAGATACGTTTATTAAATGTTTTGGAATGCCTCTTCTATACATTATTTCCCATTATCTTCTCCTATTGACTTGGTCGAAGGTGTTTTCAAAATCAGTAAGTGCAATGTGCATGTCTAAATTACTGTCTTCTTTTCTCTATTATTTGTTCAATATAAAAACTTTATCTGTGCAGGATCTTTCCTTTCTGAAGCCATTTTGTACTTTTAATAATATAACTTCAGCTATTGTCTTAATCCTCTTTTGAATCATTTTGTGTGTTATGTTTGAGGCAAATACCTCTTATTTTTTTCACAGATACTTCAATCCCCCCTTGTTAAAACACAGATATTATAATGGCTGTGTGCCATTCTTTTGGTATTGTACTTAGCCAACATTGATTGTATAGATGTAACAATCTTAAATGGAGGAAAGTGCTTCCGAATTTTAGTAATTCTACCTTTATATTATACATACCAGTAGCTTTTCTACATTTCATTTCTTGTAATAATTCTTCTATTGTTAGTGGATCTATATTATATTTCTTTTGTTTTTCCTTTTCTTTCAGTGGGTTGTACCATAGATAATTATAGTGTTGCAGACATTCCTTGTAATCTATAACTTTCAATTGAATGGTATCTTCTTATTTTTTATTGGGTTGTCCCATTATTTTATAGGCTAGTACTGGCTTCCCATGAAAATCATTTTCTATTTTATTTATGAAGTGATCCCACGCCTCCTGATGTGCTGTATGAGATAGCCTTTTGGCTTCATTTCTACATCAGTTATATTCTTTCTTACTTTTTTCATTCTGTGTTTGAAGATATTTCAAATATTCTTTCTTTTTCTCAGCCACTGCTTCTTTGTCATTCATCCATACTCTTTGAGTCTTTCACCCCCCCCCAAACTTCTTCCCCCCCCCCCCCTATGCTGTCAAAAGCTGCTTTTGTGTTACGATTTTAATATTTTCCCATTCTTTCTCTACCTAATCCCTACTATTAATTATTGGTGTAGCATCCTTTCCACTCTGTTCAAAACTTGTATATGATGCTAATGCTGACCAATTGCTCAACATTGCTGAAGTAAATTTGTTACTGAGGGAGACTTCAACCTTCTAGGACTCAGTTGGTCAGGATTTATCAAAGATACATCTTGGAAAATTATCTTGTAATCCTACCTCTGTTATTGACTCCACCACAGCTTTACTGAATGCCTTACCTTGTGTGTTGCTTAATCTTTGCCAACACAGTGGTATAAGTAATAACAAAAATTGACTGCTTGACCGTATTTTATCTAACTTCAATACTGTCAATGTCTGAAGGTCAATTGATGCATTCATGAAATGTTTGTCTTACCATGCTGCACTCACCTTTAATACCCACTAGAACATCTTGTTGACTCTGACATTTTTTAAAACTACGAATATGATTTCAAAGATGCTGATTACCTCAGGTGATGGAGTACTCAGAACATTAATGTCAACATCAATGATTTTGATTGAATTGAATTGAATTGAATATGCCTTATTTTACGTGGCGAGACTGATTAGTGTTACATTGATTGACAGCTGCATACTAAAATGCTTGATTTATTCAAGTTCTCTCTCCATGATACTCAGCCAACGTGATTGGACTTCTTTAATTGCATTCCACATAAAATGTATGTTAAAAATACTCGCTTCAATCCCCTAAACGAAGAATTCACCTTTTTCATGCATTGTCTTCTTTAAAAGAATTGTTTGCTTCATCGACCCCCTTACATGATCTCTGTAAAATCCAGAATACATTATCATAACACAAAGAAACACACACAAAATACTTGCCTACAATTCTGATATCTCAATATTTTTGTAAACATCTTGATTTCCAACAATGATTGAAAACACTTCATATTTTTGCAATAGTGACAAAATGTTGAGCGTTTTTTTCTTTTTATTTATTTATTTTTTCTTTTAAGAACTGGCCATAACATTTCCACTGAATATTGTGGAGAATATTTTCTTGTGCATGATAGCGCAATTTGTGAATACATAGCTATAATTTCTTGAAATTTCTGCAAATCTTATTAAAGGAGAAGCAAATTTATAATTAGATGTTCCGTAGCTTTGTACTAGAAAATATTATTAACAACTCTCTTAATATTTTTTGTAAACAATGAGAACTTGATCTTGTCCTATTGATCAGTCACCGTTTCATGTTCAGCTACTGACCGCTAGTTGACCTCTTTTATCTTCATTGATCCCCTTTAAACTTTCATTAATCCCCAAGGGATTGATACTGACCCCTTATGGGGTTGTAATATGCCTATTCCAAGATTCTGTTGTGATTACTCTGTTTATTATAAAATCTTTGAAATTCCAAAAGTTGGTGAGAGAAGAGTAATGCCCAATCTTTTTAGAAAAAATTGAATCGGGGATATTTTCTGTACCAATTTTTTATGTAACCTTGGTCTCTTGGCTCCTTGAAGGGCCACTAGAAACCAACATACATTCTTTCTTGCACCTTCACTTTTGCAGTTCGGTCCTATGCCAACATCAACATAATACAGAAACAATAAATGAAAAAAGTACTTTATTGAACAGTGTTTTATAACAATATTGAAAATCAACTAAATAACCAACAACTACAGAATTTACTTTTGAATATTAAATTTAAAAACACAATTTGTAACAAATTTAAAAGAAATTCCTGGAACTGAAACTCAGTTTTTTTCTTACTATGACTGGGCCTCTAGCGAATGTTTTGACTTCACCTTCTTCTTTTTCATTTTGCAATGACACTACTGTTCCTTTATTATGATTATGATTACAATTAGGGAGAATATTTTTATGTCCTAATAAATCTTGAAATGTTTAAAAATTTTTACATTTATGACCTAAAAATTCTGAAATATGCACTATAATACGCAATTAAATTTAACAATTTGTTAAGAAAGGCTTAAAGAGGATATGAAATAAGCTTATTTTTATTTATTTAATTATATTTTTTTGTGCATACATAATATAACCTAGCTTATTTCGGGGAAGAAATAATTGAAGTAAATATGCACTTTAGTGATGTACATTGCTTCATTGCATGTTTACTTAGGTTTTTATTTCTTTGCGCCTGAGGACTTGTCTTCACAATGGAATACTTCATGTTATTTTGCGTCTTTCTTAGTCATGCCGCTAAAGACGACCGAGAAAGACATGAAATACCATGAAATATTACATCATAAGACAAGGCCTCGCATGCCAAGAAATAAAAGCCCAAGTATAATGTTTAGATTCTTCTGGGTGTATTAAAAATATATGAAGAAATATCCTATATTTGCACAAGTATTGTATGAACTATAGAAAAGAAAGAAAGCAAACAGTGACAAGCTTTTTCTAATCAATGAACGCTCACAAATAAACAGATTCTATAAAAAGATAAAATATTTTAGTGATAAGTCTCTGTTTAAACAAAATGTGCTGTTATAATTACACAAATATTCACCCATAGGAAAAATTGGCCAAATATGCATTAACATATTAATCTGCATACCATCCAATTCTAATCAAATGTCAAGAAATTTCACTTAGCTATGACCTGAAGCAACAGACAGAAATATGCTACATAATAGAAATTTGCTCCCTAATTAATTTTCTTTTGTATTAATTCCATTATTTTTCTGTTATTTATTTTCATTTTGTATTAGTTTACGCTATGCTATCTTGTGAGCAATACCTATATTATGTATCAAAGGAAATATCCCATAAAAAAAATTAACAAATAAATAAGTCATGTAGTACTTATTTGTAATTTACAAATATCAGAGCCTGTGAATTTAGTTCACTTTACCCAAAGTCAACTGTATATAGTGGATGGATAAGAGAGCAAATAAAATTCACTGTTCTGGCTGAATGATTGTCATGAAAGTAGTAAAGTGTTTCAGGAAACAGTATGAAAAATATGTGCTTATATCATTTTCATAGTGGATGGATGCATAATAAATGTTAAATATGATATGGAATTGTATAAGGTCAGTGTATTTGTTCTCAAGCCTTTTTTGCGAATCAGAGGCTGCCAACATGTAAGAGAGACCAATCTGGGTAAAATTTAACAGCGCTTCCAGCTAAATTAAGTAATTCTCTTTTTTCACTTCACACAAATTTAAATGTAAAATATAATTTGTTTCACCAATCGTAACTACCAGTATTCAATGAAAATATTTGTTACAGTTTAATTGACTAATGTGTTTATGCTTGGAATGCTTTTAAATAAGCATTATTTACTTATGTTTAAAAGTATTTTCTTCAAAGTACAATTGTTTAATATTTCGTTGTATTTGCAGGAGGAACTCGAGCCACCAGTGAGAGTGGATATCAAAGAAGAGCCCCCTGAGGAGGTTGAAAGGGAACAGGAGGTAAGTTTGTGTGGTGCAAATATTATTTTTAAGTTTTCTAATTTGCAAATTAACATAAACTATTTGGATAAACCGCTATAAAAATAAAATTTTGATATCATCATGTAAGAATGGTATAATAAAAGTGATTTTTTTTTACCTGAAAACCTTTATTTAAAATTGAGTCGCCAAAAAATCATCCAAGTCGCTACAGACCTGTCAAGAGTCTGCAATTTGGCAACATATAGGCAATACTAGCAACACTTCCTTCACTTTGTGGGAGGTTGTGAATCCGCTGGGCAAGGCGGTATTGGGTGCCGTGGCATATGGACGGCATTGGGTGCCCCGTCCTGTGTGGACAACATGTATTTGCAAAGCAAATGATATAGTCCTGACAAACTAAACATATTTATTGCATTCGATTCGTTTTAATACTCGTGAAGATGCTCAAAAAATGTGACATTAGCTTTAAGTTTAAAAGGTCAATAATTCCCATGTGAATTCTTTAAATATTTTCATTTTACCTATATTTTTTATTACAATAATAATAGTAGTAATAATAATTATTATTATTTATTTATTTATTTACTACAATTTGAATGCCAATTTCTTTTGAGGGCAATCAGGTATTAGTACACTGTTGTCTTTTGCAGGAAATCGATGAGCCCTGCTGCTTGTTGGAAGTGGAGGAAGACGATGAAGAGGTGAGCACTAGTGATTCGAAAACTTTTGAAACCTTATCATCTTCTTCTATAACTGCATTAGATTAGAAGTTAAAGAATAATTTATGTAAGAAAAACAATTTTTATAAAATACAACAATAGTATTGTTTTAATCTTATGAAGTTTGACTCATGAATGTCATATGAAAACATTACTGTCTGAATAATTATTAATAATTTTCTAGAATATTAATAAACCAAATATATAGGAAGTTATATTGCTAAAGTTCAAATCTAATGGTCAGTTAATGTTCATATTAGCCAAAATGGATGGATAAGGTATGATGTAGATATAGCCTCAAAGCATACTTTAAACTCAAGTTGAATGAACTGCATGTTAGCAAGAATAAGATAGTTAGGGTAGGTGAAGTATGCTTCGGTGATGACAAATAGTAGATATGTAATTAACAGGGGTCAGACTGCTGGTCATGTTTCTAAGGTCATTGAGTAACAATGTGCATTTTGATTGCTACTTTGACAGTTGTAATCAAGCCTAATTTCTGCAAATTAATATGCAATTCCTAACTTGTTGGCCATGTTTTTGGCTTACATCATTAACTGCCGGTTTCATCAAATACTTTTTAATGACTTAGTGAAGTGAAACTTAATTTTAAGATGCGTTTAAAGTCATGCTTTGTTGCTGAATGTTTCACCACCTCCTTTAAATATTGCTTAGTGAAGTATAACTTAAATGCATACGAGAGTTGGTTGGCAAGGCTGGACCCTGGTGAACAAGCCAGTGATCATAACCAACTGTGTTTGTTTTGGTTCTGTTTTGTACTTTGGTGCAAGAGGTTCATTTTATTGATTTTTCGTAATGGGGAAAAGAGACGAGTGTGAAATTTTCATTGTTAGAGAAAGAAGTGCTCATCGAATGTATGAGAGTACATTTGTATTATAGAAAATAAAGATGCAATTGAAACTACAAACTGACAAATAAATGATACATGGGATATCTATTAAAATCAAAATGTGTTTGAAAGAAATCTCGTTCTTGTCATATTTACGTTTCTCAAGTATATTATTTCAATTTCGACAACCTGAATGTTCAAACATACAATGAAAATCAGATCAAATTGGTTTAATTAATTCAAAGACTGAAATTATAATATATAATTATGCCAAAGCGATGATTTACCTGCTGGGTCTGCAGTTTGAATTAATCTATTGTTTAAACACCTCTTTGCACATTTAACATAGTAAAACCTCATTTTTATTATTATTTTACGTTATTCACAGTATCTAGGAATGATGACCAGATGTGTGGTTGCTTTAGTGAAGGTTCAGATGGCTTCTAACAATACGGCATGTATTCAAAATTACAGACTTTTGCATATTATATACATTCCTGGCATCCAAGTGAAGACACTCCAGTGCCTGAAGTGTCATTTTCCGGATCACTCCTGTAGCTGATATTATTATAGGCACAGTTGTCACTTATCTGAAGTTCCACTGAGTTGCGACTTCATGGGCGAGATCAGTATACTCCAGTTTTCTCTTGATGTTTTCCCGATATGTTGTGGGTATTGGGTATTGATACATCGATAAGGAAAACCTGCTGATGGTTTCTGTGAATGTACATCATATCATTATATTGCCGCTGACATGTCTGTCAGTGATAATGGAGCGATTCCAGGAGTGTGTGCTCACTACTTTCAAGCACATTCTGAGGCACATATTTATAATACAGCACGGAAGTGGCGAGTAAGCCCGTTCTGAATGCCAATAATTGGTGGACCTGCTTTGCCATTTCATCATTCCTCTTTTTGTATTCCAACTGTGTGTGGCTACTACATTCACTTGTCACGTGTTGGATAGTTTTGCTTGCAGCCTCACATCTTCTACACGAGTCTCTCAGAACGGTAGAATCTCTCAGAATGTGTTTCCTGTAGTTCAATGTTGGTACCACTTGGTCCTGGATAGCTATGTTCCGGACCTTGGCTTCTGTCTCCGGAAAGAGATCCCCGTGCTGGAGCCATGCGGGCGACGCAGAGATGTCGACTTCTGGTTTACACAGCTCGTGAGGGTACCTTCCATGCAGTGCCTTCGCTTTCCATAAAGTTATCTTCTCTTCCGTTTCAGTGATTGGTTGAACAGGCGGATCAAGCTTTTTCAAGTTCAGAGGACTATAGTTATTATCAACTGTTGTTGTTGTTGTTGTTGTTGTTGTTGTTGTTGTTAGTATTATTATTGTTGTTGTTATTATTATTATTGTTATTATTATTGTTGTTGTTGTTATTATTATTATCATTATTATTATGATGATGAAATAACTGTCTTAGTAAGCTTAACTTACTAATTACTGAAGTTTACAAATATCATTAGTTAATTTACTTTTAAATCATTGAACACCTAGAGGAAAGGGTTCCAAGGCTATCGCAGGCAACTTATTCCAGTCCATTATTGTTCTATTTGTAAAGGAAAATTTTCCAACATCTGTTCTCTGTGGCCTGAACTGAATTCTATGCTTGTGATCCCCTCTACTTAAGTCTGTCGGACTACTGAGTCAGATGTAGATATCTTTCCAAGCTGGATAACCAGCATTCGCTATGTACAGGGCACAGTCTTGCCTTAACCCTCCTGATTTCTAGACTCCCAATGTACTTTCTTTATATTGTTAGTTTATTTGCTCCCAACAAACCGCTCCATATTCCATTAATTGACGAACTAGAGATAAGTAAGCTAGTTCTCTTGCTTCGCACTACTCTTTTTTAGTAACTACATAGTAAAATGCAAAGACCTCCAGGCTTTCCCTACGACAAAGTTTACCTGATTTTCCCAACTAAGGTATGTTCAAGACAAGACTCTCGGAATATTTTCATTTCCTAAACAGTATTGAGTTCCACTGTAGCTGCGGCCCTTACCAAACATGATGGATTTGCTTTTCAAACTATTTATTGTCATACTATTTTTTTCCTCCCAGAAATGTTGTCTATCTAGATCACCCTGCAAAATATCCTCATTTACTTTTGATTGAATAACTTGGTATATTACACAATCATCGGTAAATAGTCATACTTTTGAAAATAAATTATCTGCCAGGTCATTCACAAACGTGAGAAACAAGAGAGGTCCAAAAATGCTTTCTTTTGGGATCCCTGATGTTACCTTTGCTAGAGTTGAATATTGTTGTCCAACTCGGACTTTCCTATCCAGAAGAAGCTCATTGATCCACGCCACAACTCTGGTGTCAATACCCGAATGCGGTAATTTCTGAACCAGTTTATCGTGTGGGACAACATCAAATGCTTTCCCAAAATCTATTTTTATGACATCCACCCTCCCACTATCATCAACTGCGTCGCCTATATCCTGAAACAATTATACTATTTGATTCTTGGAAGAGAAACCATTCCTAAAACCATGCTGTCCCTGAAATAGCCATTCGTTTTGTTCCCATTCTTGTCTAATATAGCTAGTTATCAAATGTTCCATTAGCATACATACAACTGACGTAAGATTTTACCGGTCTATAATTCGCTAAAACAGTTCTGTTACCAGTTAAAAATCGGAAGAACAGTAGCTAGCTTCCAATCGTCGGGTGTGAATTGGACGGACGTGAATTGTTGATTGATACATAAAATAATTTTGTTAGATATGGTAAAATTGCCTCTCCACAGAGTTTAATTGTCACTTGAAATGGCATCTGGACCCTGTGACTTTCTGTTTTGCATAGATTTATTTTGTTTTTACTATGTATTTACATCTATATTAAACTGATTTGGTATAACCTCTCTCAGTATGTGAGTATGGTGAGATTTTGTTTTGAAAACGGAACTGATATAGGCATTAAATGCGTTAGCTTTTTCTCAATCGTCTATTAGTCACATCTTTTTGGTGTCTCTAACGATATTAATTTCATCTTTATTTCCTCTTCTTCTGCGAACACATATGTAAAATCCTGACAAATCATTTCCCTCCTACTCGAGAATATTCTTTAAAAATTTCTCCTACGCACTTTTCTTTTCCCACTCTAATTCGTTTGAACAATTTCGAAAATGTATACTATGATTTTCACTATGATGTCTATTATTAAAAGCCTTTCTGGTTTTTCTCTTCGTACATCGATTTGTCGCATTGTACTATTCTGAATCTGAATTACTTTTTAAGTATTTGCATGGCACAAACATTTGCAATGCATTATCTAGAATACTCTTAAATGTGTTCCACATTTCCTCTATGCCCCCGTCTATTCTGAGAAAACTATTGTACTGTTCTCTCAGGTAATGGTAAAACCCCTCTGTATTTACCTTCTTGAACTGCCATATTTTTGTTCTATTATGAATTCTTCTCTGTGAGATATTTATGTCTAAGTCAATTAACACCGCATTGTGGTCGCTTACGCCCTCCTGCAGCGTCAGTCTATTTACTACCTGGGCTAATCTCCCTTCCCAGACGAGTGTGTTCACTCACTGTTGTACTTTTGCTTCACTCTCAGCACCTTTCCATTTTGTGTCGGGATATTTAAATCATCTCATACAATCATCACCATACAATAATATAATATTACAACATAACAACATTGCAATAATTCAGTATTTTCAATACTATATATATTGACTACTTATTTGCCAAGGAATTTACCATCACAGTTATTTACCAAATATATTGTTAAACATTCAAAAAATTTGACAGGTTGAATATTATATTCGATTTAGAATCGAGAGAAAAATGTATGAGAAAATCAATATATTTGGGACAATTAAAGTCGCCAATCAAATATTATTATCTGAACAAAGACATGGAAGTAATTTTAGTTCATTACAAAAGAGTCTAAGATCAGTTAAGTCTATATTTGGAGGTATGTAAACTACTAAAACCATTATTACCAACTCATGGTAAAGTGTAGTTTAACCCCAACAATATCAATTTTCGGAAATAGTTCAACAATTGTATATAAATAGATAGGAGCTATATAGAATCAAAGCTATGAGCTAGCAAAGTGCTGTAAGTACCCCTCCACCTGTTTGTCTTAAGCAATCT